CCTTGATGAGGGTTCGAAGTCGTCTTTTATTTCATGAAGCAAATTAAAAATAACATGGCTTGGCAAACTGTATGTTCGGATAATGTGTTCTTCTGGCATTCCAAATAAATGAATACGTGTGGAAAAAATCCTCTCCCTTCTACCACGCGCTCTCTGTTCTCTGCCGTGCCTCCTCTAGCAACAATAATTGCAGCCATTTCAAGCGCAAATCAGTTTAAGACATGCTCTTTTGGGCGTTAAATAATGGCGCAAATGCCAGTAATTTGACGAGCGCAAACATTAGCAAATCTCGTTGCGTGATTCATTTTAATACTCTCCTCCCATAAATTTTGCGTCTGAAAAGGAAACTCCTACAAATGCATATTCAATAAGGTTAGGCAAAAATAACTGTCCACGCCTTTTATAGCACTAATTCCTCACTGCGCGTCTTTGGTAAAACCTGACAGTAGGGCTGTGCAATTAATCGAAATTCAGTTTCGATTTCGGCCCCCAACGATTATGAAAATACAGTAATCGAGATTAAATGATTATTGTGCCCCATTCCACCCCCTTTCCAGCGGTGCTCTTTCGTTCCTCCATAATCAGTAAAATCATGTAACGAGACTTTTGCAAAACAGGACGTGCTTGATTTATTTAAGTTGATTCGATTGATTTATGTTTTTAAAAGCGTGAAAGAACTTGCGCTTCCTCGGGAAGATTACTGTGGATGCGCTCAGAGAGGGAACACAACACGGACATGTAAAGTCATCTTTTAGCACCTAAACGGTCAAATACACACAAAAATGTGTCAAAATGCAGCGCTTAGTGATTATTCATGTAAACCCTCGTTGGTTATGTAATTAATGAATGTAACGAGTTAGGAATGAAAATACTTGTGTAACAGTAAATTGGATCCGTGCGGCTCTTAAAGTGACAGCGGGCTATATTCCTGCTGCCGACTGTGTGCTTAATATTAATCAAACAACAAAAGATACATTCAAAATCACTCACTGCTCTTTTGTAGCTTTAATAAAAAACAAAGGAAATGTAATTCTTACAGTGAAGACTGTGTTGTTTTATTTTACATTAGGTTATTCAATTTCTCTAGTAGGCCGTTAACTGAATACTTCAGACTTACATTAAAAAAAAACTTAAAGCACAGTTTGTTTCATTTGTATATTTTTTATTCTATTGTATTCTTTTGCTTTTTTATTATGGTTTAATTATTTTTAAATAATTTTTTTGTTTAATTTTGAGGACCTTTTTTTTAATTAATTTTTTTAACTAATATTAGTTACTCTGGTATTCTGCTGTGGTATTGAAAATTGTGACATTTCGCTGGTCTCTATAATGTAGATGTCATAGCAACCTTATTTACAGAAAATATATATTTGATATATATCACTATCTTTAAATAAATCTTTCATATAAAGTTTTGGTCATATGGCCCACTAATAATCGTTTTAAATAACCAGGATTACAATATTGACCAAATGTTGACTAAAATAATCGTGATTATGAATTTTGTAATATTTTAACGCCAAAAGACGGTTTGCACTGGCGCAAGCTGATAGTAAAACTGGCTCTCAACATCTTACCGCCCTCAAACTTTTGAAGGATAGTGTATATGCCAATACCGGTGTTTTGTTTCATGCAATTCAATAATGGAAGCATATTATATTAGGATTTTTAAAATCTTTTTTTGTCAGTACAAAATTACAAAAACTTATACTCTACATATAACGTGTTTATTCCTTATATCAATTTAAAGGGACAGTGCACCTAAAAATAAAAACTGACAGCTAGAAAAAAAGAAGAGAAATCTGAGGAGGCTGTAGAGCTTAAGTTAAAGTGACAGCGGGCTATATTCCTGCTGCCGACTGTGTGCTTAATATTAATCAAACAACAAAAGATACATTCAAAATCACTCACTGCTCTTTTGTAGCTTTAATAAAAAACAAAGGAAATGTAATTCTTACAGTGAAGACTGTGTTGTTTTATTTTACATTAGGTTATTCAATTTCTCTAGTAGGCCGTTAACTGAATACTTCAGACTTACATTAAAAAGAAACTTAAAGCACAGTTTGTTTCATTTGTATATTTTTTATTCTATTGTATTCTTTTGCTTTTTTATTATGGTTTAATTATTTTTAAATAATTTTTTTGTTTAATTTTGAGGACCTTTTTTTTAATTAATTTTTTTAACTAATATTAGTTACTCTGGTATTCTGCTGTGGTATTGAAAATTGTGACATTTCGCTGGTCTCTATAATGTAGATGTCATAGCAACCTTATTTACAGAAAATATATATTTGATATATATCACTATCTTTAAATAAATCTTTCATATAAAGTTTTGGTCATATGGCCCACTAATAATCGTTTTAAATAACCAGGATTACAATATTGACCAAATGTTGACTAAAATAATCGTGATTATGAATTTTGTAATATTTTAACGCCAAAAGACGGTTTGCACTGGCGCAAGCTGATAGTAAAACTGGCTCTCAACATCTTACCGCCCTCAAACTTTTGAAGGATAGTGTATATGCCAATACCGGTGTTTTGTTTCATGCAATTCAATAATGGAAGCATATTATATTAGGATTTTTAAAATCTTTTTTTGTCAGTACAAAATTACAAAAACTTATACTCTACATATAACGTGTTTATTCCTTATATCAATTTAAAGGGACAGTGCACCTAAAAATAAAAACTGACAGCTAGAAAAAAAGAAGAGAAATCTGAGGAGGCTGTAGAGCTTAAGTTTAAGTGAAATAACTTATAACTCAAATTTAAAGCGTGATACCTGGGGTTCAGCTGAAACATCCTCATTTATTCAAAACTAAATGTTACAGAAATGCGGCATCATTCCTTGGAGTGCTTTTTAGCGTCGACCTCATAAAAACTTGCACGCTAAAAGATTATGTAACGTATGATTAATGCTCGATGCAGAGGGGATTATTCTCTAGATTAGACTCCACATCCAATCCCTAATAGAGAGCAGTCACAGTTTCATTTCTAATTCTGCGGTGCAATAGAGGTGAAAGCCGACCTTTTTACCCTGTCTGAGAGGATTATATGTTATCAGAACAAATGAACCTGCAAGTGCACTCTCTCTAATAGCTCATTATGGGTCGGAGGTCAACATCTGTCCACGTTCACCTGATGCCGCGTGACGCACGCCGGGTGGAACCGAGGGCAAGTTTAACAATGACCGAAGCACTATGAGCAAACTATATAGAGATAATAATGAGATAAGATGCAGATCAGAAATTAAAGAAAGATTAAGGTTGAGTGCACAAGCTTATACTAGGGCTGGGCAGTATATCGCAGTGATGGCAAGAATGGGTCAATTGGTAAGGATTTTGCTAAACTGTTTCTATAGCAGTATATCTGTGGTGCAATAAAAAAAATTCTGACATGTGTAAGTGTAGGTTTAGTTTGCAACCAGAGTTTTGTTAAATACATAGTTCTGGCATGAAACTCTAGATGGCACAGTCTGATAGGTCTAACTCAATCTGACCTAATGACATAATTATCACATGGCACAGCTGATTGGTTCTCTCCTGTATCGGTAGCCAATGAGCTCGCTGCTCAACATTCAAATATTTGACTAGTGCTTGCCGTAGCAGTTGCAGCTTGCTTCAGAAACCCTCCACCTTCCCCAGCTCCACCTGTATAGATCTGCTACGAGGTGATTCATGTATGCTATATGGGGGTTATTTCACGTATGTTATATTTGCAGCAGCAATATTTCTTACATGCTCACAGCAGCATGTCTGCCGCAGCAGCAGCAGAAGCGTAGCAGATCTATTCCGCCAAGACCAAATACATTAACATTGTCAAATACATTACCATGCCAATCCCTCCGAGAGTTGTCATGACAGAACTAAAACTATTAAAAATCATTGTTGTTAATTGAAATAAAGCCGAAATAGAATATAAATGTGAGATGAAAAGCTTGAAAAGGGGGGAGGGGGGGAAGAAGAATAAATGCCTTGGCAACTAACTGAAATAAATAAACTGAAATGGAAGATTTCTAAAAATTACTAAAACTGAAATAATAATAATAATCAAAATTTGAAATGTTGCCTTAGCAATTAACTAAAATAAATTTAAATTAAACAAAAAAATAAAAACTATTAAATGAAAATTAGAAATGTTGCTTCAGCAATTAAGTGAGATAAAATCCGTTTAATTTAAAGTACTAAAATTTCTAAAACAAACTAAAAAAGCTAAATATAAATATTAGAAAAACAAATAAGAACAAAAAACACAAAATTACTCAAATTCTGAATAAAAAAAATTAAAAATAAAAACAATAAAATAATACAATAATAAAATCTAATTCAACATATTAATAAATACTATGATAGACTATAAAATATACTAAAATAACACTGGTTGCAACATCACAAATAGTCACAGTAGTTTCTATAAAGGTTATTTTACACCAAGTATGGCTCATCCAATCATATTTATATGTTTTACTGCTTTAACTTGTTTCAGAATCATTAAAAAAAAAAAACTTTTACTTTTCCATCCATCGAGCTCCAAAAAAACTAAATTAGATTCCTTGTAAACTATTTTATTCACTGAATAATCCAAAAATAGGTATTAGTATGTAGTTATGTAATACATAACATTTTTGGATTGAATTTAGGGGGAAAATGTCTATATTGCGATATACACTGTGAGCGTAATATATTATTCATATTATGAAATAAAATTACTATACTGCCCACCACCAACTCATTGTCCAGTTTACTTAGAGAAGAATATAATCTTGCAGAATAGACTCAAACACACACTGCTAGAAAGAACAGAACATGGAGACAAACACTGCAAACGCAAACGCACAGATCTGCTTCAGATCAGACACACAGTGGACGCCAAAACTTCCACCAATTAAAAAACAAGAAACGTTCAGGAAAACTATGGAAACTGTGCTTGGCGGATGTGAACAGAAAGCAAAAAAGGTATGAAAAAGAAGGGAACGAAATGAAAGTGGGTCTTACCTTGACATCGGCCTTCTTGTTGAGCAGGCTCTTGGCTGCTGTAGACGGGAAGAGAGGAAGCGCAAACATCAGCACGCTGGGATGGGAGCAACAGTCTACATTACCGGAGCGCTAATGGTGCTCGGCCAAACATGTCACATAACCGTCCAAGCCAACCGGAGAAATCCCTCCCGCCCCACATCCAGAGGATTACAGCCGTCTAACACACTACGTGTGGAGTGCATGTCCGCACACGCATCACGAGTATGCACGGTGCGGCCCAGTCAAACCTGCTAGAATTAATCACCAAATGTGACCGAAACATCCCGTCCAGCAGTGAGCGGTTAGTGATTGCCATGCACACACAGGGGATGTGCTGGTGCACATGCAGAGGTGTGCAATCACACACACAGACACACACACACACACACACACACACACACACGGTTACCTGACTAAATGAAGATACAGCATTGACTTCTGTTGTTTTTATATGATGCAAATGAATAGATAATAAATATCCATAAAACAAGGTCAATTTACTTGAAGAGTTAAATTGCATTAGATATTAATATATTTTAGATTGTTCTTTGTTTTGTTTTAAGCATAAATCAGACAAAATTACCTTTGCTTTATGCTTGAAACAAGATGAAAATGTAAAATAAATATATATGGAAACAGGTATTCATGTATAGGTATTAAAATGTTAATAAATTATTTTTAGTTTTTTTTTTGTGTGTACTTTAAATAAATAAAAAAAAGATTAAATTTTTCTTGTAAGTATAAAACTACTGTAAAAATAACCTAAACCCAAATTCCTAAAATAAAACCCTAAAATAAACTTTCTAGTTAGTAAATATCCATAAAACAAGATACATTTACTTGTAAAGTCAAATTGCATTACATAAATATTCTTTATATATTTCTTTCTTTTGTTTTTAAGCATAAACCTAACAAAATTACCTGAGCTTTATGCTCAAAATAAGATACAAATATATAATACAATATATACAAGAATGTTTTTTTTGTTTTGTTTAGACATTTATTTTCGTCTAGATATATATATATATTTTTAATTTTTACTTTTTATTTATTTTTTTGCATTTTAGTAGTATAAAACTAACCTTAATCCTAATTCTGCCCATAAAATAAACCTTTTGGGGAAAATGGGGAAAAAACAAAAACAAAAAGACATTTACACAAAAAGTTTGGGGTCTAAAAGATTGTTTTTTTAAATGTTTTTGAAAGATCTCTTATGCACACCAAGGCTGCATTTTTTTTGATAAAATTACAGTGAAACACTAAAACTGTGAAATGATATTACAATTTAAATAACAATTTCTGTAATAACTGTATTCTATTTTAATATATTTTAAAATGTAATTTATTATATGCTGATTTGCTGCTCAAGATCAGATCAAATGCCTTTTCTGCTACTTTTGCTCAATTTAATGCATCCTTGCTGAAAGAAAGTATTAATAAAAAAATTTATAATAACTGACCCCTAACATTTTAAACAGTAGTGTATATTATTCACTTCATTTATAAATCATTTTTATAACCTCCCAAAGGCAGGTTTTGTCAGATTTAGTTCACTTCTATCCCAAAGGACAGCTAAATAAACCCACAGACTCACGCACACTGCAGTTAAAGCATGATACGTTCAAATATTTTGTTCATGTGGCGGCAAGGACCTGCACAATGCTGCATTTTCTTGCCACAAATGAGAATGTTGAAGTTTGTCCAAGTGAATAAAAACAGTCTAAGACAACTTCTCATCACTAAAATGAAATGGAGCTGGCAAATCCTATATTAACTGCCATGGCAACACAAAGAAATATTCTTAGTGTTTCTACGGCGCTAAAGAGCCCTGACTTTATTAATCCGTGCAGATAAGAGGAAGGTGTTGTGTGGAGGGAGGGTTGAGAAAGACAGAAAAAGAGAGAGAATCTTACCTTGACACAAATGTTAAGAGGCAGAGAGGAATGGAGAGAAGGAGAGATTAAGAAAGAATAGATTAAGAGAGAGAGAGAGATCAGCACGGGTTCATCTGGAGTGTGTTTATCTGAACGAGGGCAGGGGTTTCAAATGTGTGTTTCTTATCTAACATATAAAAAGGTTTATGTTCCATTCTTTGGTTTCATTTTCTAATCGTTATCTTGTGCCATTTTCAAGCCTTTTCCTCACACTTGTAGTGACACCTAGAGGTGACAACAAACCCGATTCATCTAAAACACCTGAGACACACACACACACACACACAAAACACGGCAAAGACGTGGAGGACAAATGCAGAGACGGGCATCTGTGGGAAAAAAAATTCTACAAAATAGATCAAAACAAAATATTCCGACTGCTAGGAATTATTTTAAAATTGTCAAGCAGTGCACTATGGGTAAACCAGGTCACAAGTGTTACAGATGCACTGCTGTCCAACCAAACTAAATTCAAAATGTGCTACTGTGTTATAATGATTATAAAACTAAATTTCACACAAGTATAAACTGCCTAGACTAGTCTTGGACTGAAATGAAAGTGCCTCACTACTGCAGTGAGGCACTGCAGACTATACTTAATTTCACGTCCATGGATTCTATTTGAATAATGCTGTTGGTTTTACTACAAATACAGGTTACCCTCAGTGTGAAAAAATGGTTACAAAACATGGTTACAGAAATATATTTTGGGGCAAAAAAATGTAAGTGTATAGTCCACCCAAAAACGAATATCATCATTTACTCACCCTCGAATTGTTCTAAACCTGTATGCATTTCTTTGCTCTATTCAAAACTAGATGATATTTCGAGGAATGTGGTAACTGGTTTCAGTCCTGAAACAGTTTTGGGTCTTTTTTACTTTCATAGTATGGCCAAAAAATACTATGGAAATCAATGGGACCCAAAACCATTTGAATTCCATTGTGTGGATAAAAATATTATGAAAGTCAATGGGACCCAAAATCGTTTGATTTCCCTAGCATGGACAAAAATACTATGGACGTCAATAGGACACAAACTTGTTTGACTTCCGTTGTATGAACAAAAAATTACAATGGAAGTCAATGGGACACAAAATTGTTTGATTTCCCTAGCATGGACAAAAATACTATGGAAGTCAATGGGATTCAAAACCATTTGACTTCCATTGTATGAACAAAAAATACTATGGACGTCAATGGGACACAAAATTGTTTGACTACCATTGTATGGACAAAAAAATTGTATGGAAGTCATGGGACACAAAATCGTTTGATTTCCGTAGCATGGACAAAAATAGTATGGAAGTCAATGGGATACAAAATTGTTTGACTTCCATTTTATGGACAAAAAATAGTATTGATGTCAATGGGACCCAAAATCGTTTGATTTCCCTAGCATGGACAACAATACTATGGAAGTCAAAGGGACAGAAAATAGTTTGAATTCCATTGTATGGACAAAAAATACTATGGACGTCAATGGGACACAAAATTGTTTGACTTCCCTAGCATGGACAAAAATACTATGGAAGTCAATGGGATTCAAAACCATTTGACTTCCATTGTATGGACAAAAAATACTATGGACGTCAATGGGACACAAAATTGTTTGACTTCCCTAGCATGGACAAAAATACTATGGAAGTCAATGGGATTCAAAACCATTTGACTTCCATTGTATGGACAAAAAAATTGTATGGAAGTCATGGGACACAAAATCGTTTGATTTCCCTAGCATGGACAAAAATAGTATGGAAGTCAATGGGACCCAAAACCGTTTGACTTCCATTGTATGGACAAAAAATACTATGGATGTCAATGGGACGCAAAATCGTTTGATTTCCCTAGCATGGACAAAAATACTATGGATGTCAATGGGACCCAAAACGGTTTGACTTCCATTGTATGGACAAAAAATACTATGGATGTCAATGGGATACAAAATTGTTTGACTTCCATTGTATGGACAAAAAAATAGTATTGATGTCAATGGGACCCAAAATCGTTTGATTTCCCTAGCATGGACAAAAATACTATGGATGTCAATGGGACTGAAAACGGTTTGACTTCCATTGTATGGACAAAAAATACTATGGATGTCAATGGGATACAAAATTGTTTGACTTCCATTGTATGGACAAAAAATAGTATTGATGTCAATGGGACCCAAAATCGTTTGATTTCCCTAGCATGGACAACAATACTATGGAAGTCAAAGGGACAGAAAACCGTTTGACTTTAATTGTACGGACAAAAAAAATATGGAAGTCGATGGAACACGAAACCGTTTGGTTACCCACATTCTTCAAAATACTTTCCATGTTCTAAAAAATAAATTAATGTAAGTCATACAGGTTTGGAACAACATTGAGCATGAGTAAATGATGACAGAATTTTCATTTTTGAACAGACCACCTAGAAAATAAGCTGTGGCAATCAACAGTCCACAGACATTAAGCTCAAAATATGCTAATAATATTCACTGAAAACCTGCTGCATGGATGCTGCAACCAGCCAAGAGTAAAAGTGCCAGATCACTGCAAAGAATCCTAGAATTTAGTGCTGAAAGGACATTGAACCCCCTTTCCTGAACACACAGGTTTAAAACACATGCACTCGGATCAGATCATATCAGGCTTCTCCTGCATCAGGAGACATGCGTGTGCTCTCGTGCAACGTTCAGTCATCAGCAGGCAGGCAAGAGAAAGAGAGAAACCTACAATTAAGAGATCTTACACAAAAAAGAAACCCAAGGGAGGAAGAAAGAGGCAGAACACTGAAGACGTGGAGGAGAGAGAATGAGTGCAAATAGAAATCAGAAGAGATAGAAGGAGAGAGAGAATAAAGGGACCCTGATGGAAAACCCAGCTAAAACCAACTGCTGACATCGGCACTTTAAATCTGACTGGCCGCCTGCTGCACTATTTATATTCAGGATACACTGATTTTAGATTTACCTGGATATAATCATCACATTAAAACAAAATGAACTGTGGTTGGTCACTTTGAATCTGAGTCAGATGGTCTAAATCTGCAGTCACACTAGACTTCATGCTCCATTCACTTATATTCATATGCATATGAGACCAGAAACATTGAAAATTCAGCTTAAACAACACTACACCTTCTACAGATAATCAACAGAGACTATACTGGTCTAACCTTGACATTTAATGACATTCGTTGGTCTAGATGGATTGTGGGGTCTGGTTTTGATCTGGTAGACGATTATGGTCAAGCTGGTAAGATTTGGTAACTGCTTTAGACAACAAACCCAGCTTGACTGCCTTAAACTGATATGACCTGGTTTTTCCAGCAGGGGAGAGAAAAACACTGACTGCGATTTGCAGCAAAATGATATGAAGTCATTTATTTTCATTACAATCTGTCAATTCAGCGATGCAACAAAGCATAAACAGGTTTTTTTTTCTTTTACTTTATGCAAATAGAGCAGCAACTGCCAATAGAAGTGAGCAATTTTACAGTTTCATATGCTTCAAATGCATTTAGCTGATACTTTTAGGTAAGTAGTCCCTAACCAGAGGCAAAAGTCAATATGATTGATGACTTTGACCTTTGATGACTTTGACCTTGTGGAAACTGATAAATTTTTTTTTTTTTACAGGATTCTTTGATGAATATAATTTTCAAAAGAACAGCATTTATTTGAAATAGAAATCTTTTGCAACATTATAAATGTATTTACTGTCACTTTTGATCAGTTTAATGTGTCCAAGCTGAATAAACATTTTAAAAATATTTATTAAAATATGGTAGCGTATATCAAAGGTATATATTTTATTAAATGACGCATTCCTTAAAAATTGAACCCATGCACAGCTGATCTAATACAAACATGCAATAATAATTCTTAATCTTGTTCATGATTTAATGTATTATGCACAACTGCAATTACAACACTTTCTTCTCCAGAATTAAAATTTTCAGCTGCAAGAAAACCAATCGGGTCCATTTATGATCAGATATTAACAAACTATGGCTGGTTACACATCTCAGGGCTATATGAACAACTCAACCTGCAGCGATGCATATCACAGTCAGTGTGAACAAGGCTTTATGAAAACTGCAAGAGAGAGAGATAAAGAAGGAAAAGAGAGATACTGTAGAACTGAAGGACTAAAGAAAAAGAGATCTAACGGCCATTCCCAAAGTCAGCCAGCGGCGTCTGCAGTGCTGAACACGAGACCGCTGTAACCTTGTCATGCTCCAAGCTCCATGCTGAATATGAATCATGAGAAGGAGAACATGAAGCAGAGAGGATGGATGGATGGAGGATTGGGTGAGACGTGAGGGGACGAGGGCTACCTTGTTCCACCAGACTGGTGGTGGTACCGGCCGCAGCAGCGGCTGCAGAGACGGAGGCGGGTGCCGTGGTCTGCCTGCCCACTGCCAGACACACACACAGACACACACATATGCCCATCGTGGTTCTCAACTGGTTTAGCCAGCACAGTACCAACACTGTTTAGAGTGCACAAAAATGTCCTAAACGCATCTATGGCCTATGAAGCCAGTTCCACACCGTGTCCTAACCAGATACAGTATGACAAAAGGCAACTTTTCCATGTTAATCAGAGTTCAATCAGTTTTTGTCCTAACCAGCTGCTGGAGCAACAGCATACAAACTATTTACAATGATAATCTCGGGTACTGATTATGTACTATTAAAAGCATCTAAGGTGATTTTGAATATCATTCTGTGTGACCTTTATAACAAATCCTGCTGTCGCAGACGTATCAGTCTTGAAACATGGATTTTTGAGTCATGAATTTTCTTTTTAGAAAGTGCTAGTTTAAAAAAGTATTATTAAATATTTTGAATTACTGTATCTAAACATTAGATTACTTTCATGCTCTCGATTTAATCATTTTAAACTTTTAAGTTTAATTGATAGAGTGAAGACTATGTAGTGTTTTATTTTACATTTAATTACTTTTTTTAATTATTGTGGTATTTCTTACAATCTAATACTACTGTTATGATTAACTTACCTGAAAACAAAGTACTCTTTATTCCATATGTATCTTTCTTCTTTTGCAGTTATTTGTCCTGTTGCTTGCCATTTGTTCAAATTTTATGACTGGTTTCTTGTTTACTTCAATAATTGTTTTAAAACTTTTTAATTATATTAGGCGAAATTAATATCAAAAATAGGATTCTAAACATAAAATCTTACCATAACTTTATTTCTAGCAAAAATAACTATAACGTAATATAAAAGATTTTGGCCATCCCAACCATGAATTTGGTTATAAAAAGAGGAAAAAAAAAAAATCAATCAAATCTCAAATTTCAATTAATTTAAATTGAATCGAACTAAGATCTCATTGTGAATGTCATCATTCGGCAAAATCTTTCCTGAATCAAATCAAAAACCTATGAATTACAGTATGAATTGATTCACTGTCTACCCAAATATTTGTTATATTTCATTTATATTAATGATATCCTTATACCAACTTTTAATTTAAATAAATATAAATACAGGTTTTAAAATATATACAATTTTAAAACAGCTACAACTTACGCTCTTTGTGAAATTATATAAATGATGAATTAAATTCAATTGATTCACTTGCATTAATATAGATATTTTCTTTCAGCTGCCTTCTCAAACTCAGACAGCTGTGATGTTTTTCCTTGCCTTCTAAATGTATTTAAATGTATTATATTTTTCAATGGTCTCTTAACCTCTCTCGTGAGCAATGAATCAAATTGAGGCTCTCCACATTTTGTTATTGGCTGTTTGCCGCTGATGTCACACTTACAGGTGCACAAGCTCTGGAGTTAATCATAATCATAAACTCATAAAATAAAACTAAACCAGGTTGGATTTGGTTGTTTTTGTCAACTCTGATACTCAGAGTAGGTGATATGCAACCTGTCCATGTTGACTAATTTGTCAACCTGTCTAATTTTAACTTCTATCAAGTGACAGATGAATTTACACCGAAATGCCGCAGACACACAGCCTTTTACATTAGATTCAATTTTAGGTCACGGCCCACCAGTTGAGAACCACTGCTGCAGACATTGAGAGAGAAACCAAAGGATAGAGCAGTCTGTTAGCGTGGAGAGAGTTAGCTGGAAACACAAGCCGCTGTCTGCAACCTGAGAGGGATCTTGAGAGTCCATTACAGTAGGTGGTGTAATCATATAATAAGGTTTCCCCTGTCACTCTGGAATAAAGAAAAGGCAAATTTTCTTGTCAAGCGCTCCTCGGGGAGCCACTTTCTCCTTTCAGCACGGAACGTGTCGCTTTCGCCAGCACCAATCTATGCTACGGCAAAACAGAACAAAGCATTTATTTGGGGGTTGGAGTTTTGGGGTTGTGAGAAGGCAGTAGAAATACAGAGGGAAAAAGTAATAGAATGAAAGAGAAGACAAACATAAAAAAAGCTCTCATCAGACATTAAAGGGGCTATATTGTAGAAAACATGAATTTACTTGTTTGGATTTAGTAATGTCAATCTGCAATAACATTCACCCATATTTACTCTATTCAAACAAACATATAATATACTCTGATTCATGAACAAATGACTCTTATGAACTGTTTTTTTAATGATTCAGTCAAGAAGACTCATTGAGTTTGAATCAGTCTAACGAGTTAGAAAGATACACGTTAACAAAACCATTCAAAATGGCATTTTAACGTAACCAAAACAAAAGGTACCAAGGAATATTTGTTGACTATAACTGCCTTAATAATAGGACTTGGCAATTTCATAGTAGAAAACAAATATATGTTACATAATATATGTTTGTGTACGGTGTATATTTATTATGTATATATAAATACACACATATACAGTATATATTTTGAAAATATTTACCTGTATTTATATGTATATATTTATATTCATATTATTTCCATTATATATAAATATATTTAGTATATAAACAACACATTTCTCTTAAATATATACGTGCATGTGTGTGTATTTATAGATACATAATAAATATACACAGTACACACATATATATTACGTAAACAAAAACTTTTATTTTGGATGCCATTAATCGTGATTAATCGTTTGACAGCACTAAATATAATATAATATAATATAATATAATGACCATTTATATTTTAAGTATATAATAAATTTTACGTACATAATATATTTGATATATATATATATATATATATATATATATATTATATATATATATACACATATATATAAATTAAAATCAAATATATATCTATATATTTCTTTTCTTTTATATAAATATAGAAAAATATATTTTATTATATAATAAAATACAAATAGAAAAATTATAGAAAATAAATATAAAAATGTAAAATGATATAAACAAATATCTAAAAAATATTTCAATTTAAAAAGGCAATCCACATATATATTTTTTTAATCAATCAATTTCTCTACTAAATATTTTCTATCATGAAATAGCCAAGGCAAATAGCTGCAGTGTGTCCTTTTTTGGATAATTCATTTTTTTCCTCTCTATCCAAACACCCCATAAAGGGCACTTATAAAATTAACTAAATAAGAACATAGAAATAAAATTAATACATTTTTATGCTAAGAACTTATGTCAATGTCTATTCTTTAACTTGGATGGGTCATTGTTGAAGAGGGTATTAAATAGTCAAGAAATCTTAATTAAGTTATCATAGAAAAAATATAAAAATAATACATCCCTTTTAAAAAAAAAAAAGTAAAAAAAAAAGAAGAAAAAAAAAAAAAAGAGAGCAGATACGTTGTTTTCGTTCAAATCAAAACAAACAACGTAGAAAACCTATCCGCGCGGATATTCTCCAAAATGGCACCAGGGTGACGTGGAGGAGACTAATTGTTGAATAAAGTCTTTATTTTAGTTTTCTTTGCGCACAAAAAGTATTCTCGTAGCTTCGTAAAATTACGGTTGAACCCCTGACGTCACATGGATTATTTTACCGATCTCCTTGCTACGTTTCTGGACCTTGATCGTGGTAATTACATTGCTGTCTATGGGAGGGTCAGAGAGCTCTCAGAATTCATCAAAAATATCTTAATTTGTGTTCCGAAGACGAACGGAGGTCTTACGGGTTTAGAACGACATGAGGGTGAGTAATTAATGACAGAATTTAAATTTTTGGGTGAACTATCCCTTTAAACATAAAATTAAAATTATAAATGCCTTGGCAAATAACTAAAATAAAAAAAAGTTCAAAACTAAAAATTTCTAACAAAATAAATTAAAGCTAAATAGAAATACAAAAAATTAATAAAAATGGTGAAAACACAAAATTACTAAAGTATAAACAAAATTAAAATTAAAACTGAAAATATAAAAATAAATGCTAATTCAAAATATGAATACTAAAATAGTACATAAATAATACTAAAATATCACTGTTAAGAGTTTGTGTTGATGCTTTTAGAATAAATTTAGAAGTCTGATTCATGTAATGATTCGTGGTTTTGATTCCTCTACTCAAGAAGTCAAATAGTTCAAATAGTCGAATGATTATACATGTCTTCAATTTGTCTTTCAGGACACAATATCTTTGCAACAGGCTTGATGTGAACTTACCAGAGAAATTGCGCGACACCAGCATGGTGGTCAATATCGCTCCCTACACGTGAGAAAGAGATCGTAACGTTAACAGAGCATCAAGCGGTGGGCTGCAGACGTATACAGATAAAATGCTTCCAGCTAATGACTTTTAAAAGAGACATCAGCAGACCTTGAGTTTCCTTCTTGCGTTGAACTTCTTCAGGCACTCGACTGTTTCCTGTCTGTGCATCATGGACGCCACAGTGGAACGTTGCTGCGGGAAACAGAGGTTTTTATTAAAGGAAAGGAGGGAATAATGAAGTCCTGCCACATTTCATATTGTGAATATTTTGTTTTAGCATGAAATATATCATCTCAGAAGTAATATGTGACCCTGGAGCACAAAAGCAGTTTAAGTCGCTGGGGTATATTTGTAGCAATAGCCAAAAATACATTGTATGGGTCAAAATTATTGATTTTTCTTTTATGCCAAAAATCATAAGGACATTAAGTAAAGATCATGTTCCATGAAGATATTTTGTAAATTTCGTACTGTAAATATATTAAAACTTAATTTTTGATTAGTAATATGCATTGCTAAGAACTTCATTTGGACAACTTTAAAGGCGGTTTTCTCAATATTTTGATTTTTTTGCACCCTCAGATTACAGATTTTCAAATGGTTGTATCTCGGCCAACTATTGTCCTATCCTAACAAACCACACATCAGTGGAAATCTTATTTATTCAGCTTACAAATGCTGTATAAATCTCAATTTCGAAAAATTGACCCTTATGACTGGTTTTGTGGTCCAGGGTCACATACGGGTCACAAACATCCTTTCATTTTTACAATAGTGTATGTATTCAGGTATTTTGTGCTGGTCAGTGGCTGCTAATACTCACGCAGACCCACGGGTGTTTCAGAGCCTCCTGGGCCGTGATTCTCTTGGCTGGATTGATGGTCAACATCTGATTGATGAGGTTTTTGGCATCAGGGGTGACCGTGTCCCACTCTGGCGAGGGGAACTACAGGAAACATGGGAACTCATGGGTATGTATTGACTCGTATGAGTGAAATCACAAGGGGACTCACGTCATAAGCCCCAGCTTTGATCTGTTGGTAGAGTTTGTGCTGGTCTTCATCCCAAAACGGAGGATATCCCACCAGCAGAATATACAGGATGACTCCTGCAATCACAGTATAGATATTTCACTTCTAACAGATTCTATGCAATTCTTTGTGTTCTCACAACTCTTCAAGTACTAACGCAGACATTTAGACACACATAAAACAACCCTAAATGTAATAATAAATACACATATCAATTCCATAAAGAAACATATACATATATAAACATTCTATAAAAAATATAAACTTAATTTAAACACCAAACATTATCAAAACGGCTACAATTTTAATGATGTCCAAGTTTATTTCTTAATATAACGTATCTAATTTCCTATTATAATAACTATATTATAATAAATAACATATAAATTATAGAAATATATTAACAAACGTAAATTGTATTGTTTAATCACTTAAAGCACTTGTATTGAAGTCTAATTTGTGAATAAATCATTGTTTTGAACTGGTTTTTTGTAATTACGTATACACAAAATACACAACCAGGTGTCAGTAAATTCTATTTCTTTCATTTTTTTTTTAAAGAAATCAATACTTTTATTTAGCAAGGATGTGTTAAATTGATAAAAAAGTGATAGTGAAGACTTATATTGCTAGAAAATACTTCTATTTTAAACAACTGCTGTTCTTGTTAACTTTTTATTCATCAAACAATCCAGAAAAAAGCATTACAGGCTCACAAAGAAAAATATAATATAATATATATATAATTTTTTTCTGAAAGGTTTCTGAAGGATCATGTGACACTGAAGACGGCAGTAATAATGCTGAAAATTCAGCACTTTGCATTACATAAATTAATTATATTTTAAATTATATTAAAATAGAAAACCATTATTTTAAATTGTAATAATATTTTGCAATATTACTGCTTTTTCTGTATTTTGAATCAAATAAATGCAGCCTTGATGAGCATAAGAAACATTAAAACATAAAAAATCTTACTGATACCAAAATTTTAACAGCAGTTTATATAGTTATATGTGGAAATTATATTAAATAACTTAAAATATAAAATATAGAAAATAATCAAAAAAAATAAAATAATAATTGTTTAATTCTATAGAGAAATAATGAACCGGTTCAAATGAACGATTCATTCAGAAACAAGAATTGAATGAATAATTTTTTTGAACTGGTTCTTTGTAATAACTCAGCATTTGTGAATCATTTGACTGTAAGGCAGAAATTTTTTTGGAGACTAAAACTGCCAGGTGGGTTAAAAATTGTTGCTAAACATCACGCGGCCTAGTGATAAACAGTTTAAATTAATTTCTCTCTCTTTAGAGTGTTGGATTTTGAAAATGACTTCTATGAATCCATGAACTGGTTCACTGATATACAAACAATCCTAATAAACCACTTCACCGAAATGAATCAGAATTCCAAACCCCAGACCAAAAAAACCACCAACCCACCTACTGATCTGCAAAGTAATTAAACCGCTCAACTATCGATGCTCTAGAGAAAGTGAATGTGAAATACGACGGTGAAAGCGGCGCTTGGCAACAGCCTCTTGACAACACCTGCCGGAGAAGAGCTCTCCACATCTGAGAGCTGATGTGTCTGAATATGTGCGGGGCGTTGAGAGAGAAAGTTAGAAATAGATGCAAAGAACTCTATCGGGAGGGAGCGTGTGACTCACCACATGCCCAAATGTCCACAGGTTTCCCATAAGCCTCCTTTCGTAGCACTTCTGGGGAAAGATAACCTGGTGTTCCAGCGAACCCTGCATGCGAAAGCAAAAATACACATCTGAAAATGCAACATCCAGGCTCTTTCCAACATTGTATGTTGGAGAAAACCATTTGGGTGGCAGATTATGTGCTTGGAAGTTGCGAAATTAAACAAATAAGGCAAAACGGTCTGGGATTTTTGCTTTGGGAGAGTTCAAACCGACCACGTACCAAACCAGGCCTGCTGGTCCCCTTGCACTTCAATGGCCAGGCCAAAATCGGCCAGCTTGACGGCGGCGTTCTTGCATTTACTGGCCAAGAGCAGGTTCTCCGGCTGGGGGGGAGATCAGGGGCGCACTCATATTACTGCTGAACCCAAATCTGATACATGTCACCTTTTAACATCAAGCACATAACATACAAGCACAGCTGCGCAACAGATACAGCATACAAACAGAATCAACTCCTAAAATATAAGACTCTACCGTGTTCTGTCACCGGCAGAGTTCGCTAGAAGTGCATTTCCTGTGATGTTCTACTGCTGTACATTTAAAATCATATGTGAGCTTGATATCTACGACTTTTGATCATCCAAATGGACCAATGGTTGATTCTCTGAAATAAAATAACTACGGTTAGCATTGCAGGCATTCAATTGTCAAGAAAAACATCTAACAGCCAAAATACAGATGACAAATGATGCTAAGCCATTGGTTCTCAATCAGGTAGCTGGGACCAGTGTTATTTTAGTATTATTTATACACTATTATAGTTTTTATTATTATTATTAGTGCTGTCAAACGATTAATAGCGATTAATCGCATCCAAAATAAGTTTTTGTTTACATAGTATTTGAGTGTGTACTGTGTATGTTTATTATGTATATATAAATACACACACATGCATGTACATATTTAAGAAAAATATGTTATGTTTATATATATTTGTATATAATATAAAATAATATAAATATATAAATTATATACACATGTAAATATTTTCAAAATATATACTGAATGTGTGTATTTATATATACATAATAAACAAACAGTACACAAATATATTATGTAAACAAAAACTTTTATTTTGGATGCGATTAATCGTTTGATAGCACTAATTATTATTTATTTATTCTTTTTTTTTTCATTATAATTTTGGTTAAATTTGGTAATTGTTATGTGCATTTGACATTTTTTATGCCATTATTACCACTACTATTACATTTATTTTTATTTCAGCCATTAGTTTTAGTTTAATTTTGGTTGTTATTTATTCCCAGTTAGACATTTTTGTGCTTTAACAAAATGAAACTTAGAAAACATGTTTGTTTGTTTTTTATATCTAATATTTATATTTGATTATATTTCAGTTTTATTTTAATTAACAAAAATTATATAATAATTTTACTTTTAGTTTATTTAATGATAATGCTGGTTAGGACCTACTAGAAGGCCTCAACACACTTTACAATAATTAAAATATATATATATAATTTGTTCCCAACAACTACAATTTCTATTGTATTTTTAAAGAACCAGGGCTCCCATATATGATGGTTGTTTTCATTTCTAGACTTGGAAAAGATTTGGAAATGTATACAATCATGGAAATATAAATATTTAAATATAGCCATCTAATATAATTTATCATGTAAAAATTTATGAGAAATTACATTAAAATTAACCATAACTTGTAATCATAAATGACTGGAAAAGTCATGTAAATTAATCGCTCATTAAGAGTGTGAACAGCACTCCGCTCTTGAAACTTTCAGAATTATGGAATTCTATTATTTATTTCCATATTACTGCTTTTTCTGTATTTTGAATCAAATAAATGCAGCCTTGATGAGCATAAGAAACATTAAAACATAAAAAATCTTACTGATACCAAAATTTTAACAGCAGTTTATATAGTTATATGTGGAAATTATATTAAATAACTTAAAATATAAAATATAGAAAATAATCAAAAAAAATAAAATAATAATTGTTTAATTCTATAGAGAAATAATGAACCGGTTCAAATGAACGATTCATTCAGAAACAAGAATTGAATGAATTATTTTTTTGAACTGGTTCTTTGTAATAACTCAGCATTTGTGAATCATTTGACTGTAAGGCAGAAATTTTTTTGGAGACTAAACCTGCCAGGTGGGTTAAAAATTGTTGCTAAACATCACGCGGCCTAGTGATAAACAGTTTAAATTAATTTCTCTCTCTTTAGAGTGTTGGATTTTGAAAATGACTTCTATGAATCCATGAACTGGTTCACTGATATACAAACAATCCTAATAAACCACTTCACCGAAATGAATCAGAATTCCAAACCCCAGACCAAAAAAACCACCAACCCACCTACTGATCTGCAAAGTAATTAAACCGCTCAACTATCGATGCTCTAGAGAAAGTGAATGTGAAATACGACGGTGAAAGCGGCGCTTGGCAACAGCCTCTTGACAACACCTGCCGGAGAAGAGCTCTCCACATCTGAGAGCTGATGTGTCTGAATATGTGCGGGGCGTTGAGAGAGAAAGTTAGAAATAGATGCAAAGAACTCTATCGGGAGGGAGCGTGTGACTCACCACATGCCCAAATGTCCACAGGTTTCCCATAAGCCTCCTTTCGTAGCACTTCTGGGGAAAGATAACCTGGTGTTCCAGCGAACCCTGCATGCGAAAGCAAAAATACACATCTGAAAATGCAACATCCAGGCTCTTTCCAACATTGTATGTTGGAGAAAACCATTTGGGTGGCAGATTATGTGCTTGGAAGTTGCGAAATTAAACAAATAAGGCAAAACGGTCTGGGATTTTTGCTTTGGGAGAGTTCAAACCGACCACGTACCAAACCAGGCCTGCTGGTCCCCTTGCACTTCAATGGCCAGGCCAAAATCGGCCAGCTTGACGGCGGCGTTCTTGCATTTACTGGCCAAGAGCAGGTTCTCCGGCTGGGGGGGAGATCAGGGGCGCACTCATATTACTGCTGAACCCAAATCTGATACATGTCACCTTTTAACATCAAGCACATAACATACAAGCACAGCTGCGCAACAGATACAGCATACAAACAGAATCAACTCCTAAAATATAAGACTCTACCGTGTTCTGTCACCGGCAGAGTTCGCTAGAAGTGCATTTCCTGTGATGTTCTACTGCTGTACATTTAAAATCATATGTGAGCTTGATATCTACGACTTTTGATCATCCAAATGGACCAATGGTTGATTCTCTGAAATAAAATAACTACGGTTAGCATTGCAGGCATTCAATTGTCAAGAAAAACATCTAACAGCCAAAATACAGATGACAAATGATGCTAAGCCATTGGTTCTCAATCAGGTAGCTGGGACCAGTGTTATTTTAGTATTATTTATACACTATTATAGTTTTTATTATTATTATTAGTGCTGTCAAACGATTAATAGCGATTAATCGCATCCAAAATAAGTTTTTGTTTACATAGTATTTGAGTGTGTACTGTGTATGTTTATTATGTATATATAAATACACACACATGCATGTACATATTTAAGAAAAATATGTTATGTTTATATATATTTGTATATAATATAAAATAATATAAATATATAAATTATATACACATGTAAATATTTTCAAAATATATACTGAATGTGTGTATTTATATATACATAATAAACAAACAGTACACAAATATATTATGTAAACAAAAACTTTTATTTTGGATGCGATTAATCGTTTGATAGCACTAATTATTATTTATTTATTCTTTTTTTTTTCATTATAATTTTGGTTAAATTTGGTAATTGTTATGTGCATTTGACATTTTTTATGCCATTATTACCACTACTATTACATTTATTTTTATTTCAGCCATTAGTTTTAGTTTAATTTTGGTTGTTATTTATTCCCAGTTAGACATTTTTGTGCTTTAACAAAATGAAACTTAGAAAACATGTTTGTTTGTTTTTTATATCTAATATTTATATTTGATTATATTTCAGTTTTATTTTAATTAACAAAAATTATATAATAATTTTACTTTTAGTTTATTTAATGATAATGCTGGTTAGGACCTACTAGAAGGCCTCAACACACTTTACAATAATTAAAATATATATATATAATTTGTTCCCAACAACTACAATTTCTATTGTATTTTTAAAGAACCAGGGCTCCCATATATGATGGTTGTTTTCATTTCTAGACTTGGAAAAGATTTGGAAATGTATACAATCATGGAAATATAAATATTTAAATATAGCCATCTAATATAATTTATCATGTAAAAATTTATGAGAAATTACATTAAAATTAACCATAACTTGTAATCATAAATGACTGGAAAAGTCATGTAAATTAATCGCTCATTAAGAGTGTGAACAGCACTCCGCTCTTGAAACTTTCAGAATTATGGAATTCTATTATTTATTTCCCAATTTTAAGAAAATAACACTTTGCAAAAATAAATAAATACATGCGTAAATAAACGTAAGTAGTAAGCTACAGTACTTCGAAACAAGTAGCTTTGTCATTATAGCAGAAGTACCATAAATATCTTCACCTATAAACGGAATATTTTTTTGGACAATGGGAAGCCTTGGAGTCAAAAAGGTTGAGAACCACTGATTTTACACATCTGTGCGTGCAAACATTTGTTATAGCTCTAGGGAATGTTAGCCTACATTAGCTTGCTGTCGACCTAAAGTTAATTAATACAGGATATAGTAGCATTACGCAGAAGAGTGTTATTCATCCTGAAGAGCATCTTTAAAGTTGTTCTTTACTGTCATTCAATCGCAGTGTTCCCTACAGCACCCTCCTCTGAGACTGGACTGGATTATCTTTAGCTGAACACGGTCGATTTGACTGACAGAACTGGCTCTCAGTGGTCTCACTGATGTCTGATACAGAATTCCGGGAAATTAGCTTCGTTTTTCTCTTTCATGTCAACATGAAACGGCATCCGCACAACAATTTACCACCACAGATATTTACACACAACACTGACAACCAAAGAGATCAAGACAGACACTAGGGTTGATTTTGATTTCATGTTGATCATAAAAAAAGAAATATGGACATATAAAACCATTGAAAAAGTTGGGGTCATTAAGATTTTTTTTTTTTTAAGCAAGAATGCATTGAATTGATCAGAATTGACAGGAAAGACCTTTATGCTACAACAGGTTTAAAATAAACACTGTTCTTTTGAACTTTTTGTTCATCAAAGAATCCTGAAAAAAATGCATCACTGTTTCTACAAAAATATGAAGCAGCACAACATTTTCAACACTGATAATAACAACAACAAATGTTTACCGAGCATCAAATCAGCATTTTAGAATGATTTCTGAAGGATAATGTGACACTGAAGACTGGAGTAATGATGCTGAAAATTCAGCTTTGCATTACAGGAATAAATCCCATTTTAAATTATATTCACATAGAAAACATTTATTTTAAATTGTAATCATATTTCACAATATTACTGAATTTTTGATTAAATAAATGCATCCTTGGTGAGCAGAAGAGACTTCTAACAAAAACATTTTAAAAAAATCTTATAGACCCCAAACTTTTGAACCTGCATAAAAAAATTAAACAGAACATTTAACCAAAGTTATCAAGAAATCACACAGAGTCAATTTTGATTTCATTTTTTCACATAACCTACTGTCACTCATTTTGATATATGGGTTAATAATACATCATCCCACTTAACACGCACATTCGCACCTCTACGTAACGTTCAGCGTGAGTGTGAGAGTGTGTGTGTGTGTGTGTGTGTGTGTGTGTGTGCTGTTATTAAGTAGGTTATCTTCCCTCTGCTCTGGTGGAAGTTGAGCCAGGTGGGAAATTGGGTCCACAGGAGCAAAGAATCATGGGAGACTTATTCAGTCTCAATCTCTGATCTCTATCTTCCTGTCGTCCTCATCGCGCTACAGATGCTGCTCTGAAAAGAGACGAACGGTGTCTGTGTTCTGACGCTCAGCCGCCGTTGCCATCTGCTGGAGCTATTCGCGGAGCTCAGATGGCATCTGGACGTTTCGGGCTCATGGTTTGAAAAGCGTTCTGATTGAGAATCCGTAGGATGGTGTGAAATGCTCAATGACCTTGAGCTGCATCCAGGGAAAATGATGCTGGAAACGCATCCAGACTGAGATTTGTATAACCTGATTCTTTAAAATATAAAAAGCGACTTCAAATCGGAAGTAGGATTGGAAAAAGAAGCAACATGAAATCAAACCTGACCCTATTTACTGTATTTCTAGACGTTCCTGATTATATTGAATTATATTGGTGAAAGTGATTCCATTCTAACCTGTGTGTCTTCAAACAAATCACAAAGAAATTGACATAAAATCAACAATAAAAAATTATTTCATCTGAAATAATAGCACAATTTAAAAGTTTTATGCCAGACATAGACATCCATGCACACAAAATATCATGCCAAATCAGATAGCGAGTATAAAAGACAGTTCACCTGAAAAAGAAAATTCTGACATCATTCGTTCACCCTCATGTTGTTCAACCTGTACGAGTTGCTTAAGAAAAGATGAAATTTTGAAGAATGCAAATAACCAAACAGTTGCTACTGTATGGAAAAATACTATGGACGTCAACGGGTACCACAAACCCACATTCTTCACAACATCTCTTCCTGTGTTCCATACAGGTTTTGAATGACATGAGCGCGAGTAAATGACACAATTTTCAGTTTTGGGTGGCCTCTCTCTTTAAGCCACGCCCCCTACTGAATATTAACCATCTCATCATAAATCGCACATCACACATAGCATATTTGTACACAAAAGCATGCACGATACACACACACACACACACAGATGAACGAATCACCTGTCACTCACCTTGAGATCTCGGTGCACCACGCCCATTTGATGGCAATGAAGCACCGCCTCCAGGATCTGCTGGATGCAGTGACTGCATGCAAACAGCAGGGGGCGCATGTTAGTCTGAGCAACGCCATTCTCTCGTGCACAGGCACAGGCAGGAAATGCAGGGCGACTACAGGGATAATATTACAGTACATCTTCCTCCTGAATTAATGTCAAAGATTGATGCCAAGCATAATAAAATATTTTACGTGACTCACTCTTCCAAAAAACTGTCTTGTAAATTTTCATAAAAGTGTGGCAAAGAGTTTTATCTACAGAATGAATCTCCCTACATCATGTCCACATCAAATTTCAACTCCAAATCAAAAGAAAGAAAATAAAATAATCAAAAATACATTAATCCAATTAAGATTTTAATTTCATGACATCATTTTACCTCCCAAATTGTCTTATAATTTGGCAATTTTATATATAGGATGAATCTTCCTACATCATTTTAGACCAAATTTAACCCCCCAAATTAAAATAATTTTACAAATTTATTTTATAAATTACATTAAAGTGCCCCTATTATGGATTTTTGAAAATTACCTTTCATGCAGTGTGTAACACAGCTCTAAGTGAATGAAAACATCCTGCAAAGTTTTAAATCTGAAAGTGCACCGTGTATAAAGTTATTGTCTCTCAAAAGAAAGAGTCGACTCTGAATCACTGAAACAAGTCGATTTTAAAACAAATCCCAAGCATAGACTGTATAAAAACATGGACGTAGTGTCTGTGACGTCACCCGTAGGTTTCTGAAGAGCATTTTTGAAGCCTAAAGTAGACGGAGCCGGCCGTCGCCATCTTGGCAGCGCGTCACTCTGAAATAATCGAAAATGGGCAAAGAGGCGGGAGCTGGTTTCTGAAACCACGCCCACCTAGCTCGACGGTTGTGACAGCAGTGGCAATCCACCTGTCACTCAAGTGGCCACGCCCTTAATTATGCAGAACTTTAAAGCTTAATATAATTTAAAGCAGCACTATGTAACTTTTTCTGTGTTCAAAATTTGCAAAATGTATATAATGAGCGAGTACATCATGAATTCATCTTCCAAACCGCGTTTTTGTCTTATTCCGAATCACTACGGTACACTTATAATAAGTACTTATATTTAGACTATTGTAGCCTGGTCACCGCTGCGGAGTAACACATACCTGCGTGAATCGCCATAGACATAAACTTAGAGAAGTAGCTCCGGTTGGAATTTTCTTCCGCGGGATGTGTGCAGTTCTATTTATTCACCGCTAGAGCGCCAAAAGTTACATAGTGCTGCTTTAAACGGATGAGTTATAAAAAAATTCACCCCCCTCACAGTTGTCATGAAGGGCAAAATTAGCTATATAGACCAAAACCACTTTTTGTACCAGGCTGTAAACATTTTTTTCTGCTGTAAAGTTGGGCATTTTAACATGGGGAGTCTATGGGACTGACTCCC